TGGACGGCTTCCTGGTCAGCGTTTGTTCACCATGTTAGGTGCGGCTGATACAACAATCCAGACCGGTACGCGCTGCGGCGCACTGGGAGTCCCTCGAAATCCCTACAGCGATTTCTCCGCTGGCGGGGTAGAGACGGTGATGTGAGCGTGCTCTGCCGAGGTGTCAGCCGCGGTGCGTATCAGTAACCAGCCACTTCGGTCCCTGGTCAGGGAGTGTGCATTGGACGCAGGAGTAGTAGACCGCGTTGCCCCGGGCGAGCGCCGGTCCGTCCGTGTTTTCCGGGACCGGTAAAGCGAAGGACAGGCCTCAAGGAACTGGGGTAGGGGCATAGTCCCCGAGGGTATACCCGTTCCTGTCTATTTCGGCCCGCCCCCCTGCACACGATGCGCTGGAAAAAACAAAAGAATGGATTCAAAAATGAGAAAAAACAACAACAACAACAACAATGTAAACGAAGCCAGCAGCGGCGCGAAAAACCTGGACGGCAGTGGCTGCAAGGTGCTTGGGGCAGACCCGTCCCAGGGAACACCGACTGCAGAAACTGACCCGTTCAAGCGTGCGTCAAGACTAGTTCGGTCGCCTGTAAAGGCGCTTAGCGTGGAGAAGCCGGTACGAACGAGATCGTCGCCACCAGCACTACAAGACAGCGAGCCTCAAATGAAGGGAGCCAAACAGAACGGAGACTACATGTCGGAGCTCGGAGATGCTATTAAGAGGCTGACGGAGGCAATGTGCCCGCCACAACGCTCAATAAACAATAGCATGCGAGAGATACTCAGCTCACTAACAAAGCTGCATGCGAGTGCCCAGGAGGAGTACTCCAGAATAAAGGCAAGCAGACGGAGTATTTTCAACATACCGGTGACTGCTGAAACCCCGAAAAGGCCCCGAGATGAAAGCCAACTAAAGCGTAGGACGCCACCCAAGAAAAATAAAACCACGCAGGAGGAGGCGACCACCAACCCTGCAACCAAACAGAGTAAGGTGGCGCCAAACGAAAATTCCGGCAAGATTAAGGAGAAGGAGGTGGAGAAAGAAGGGAAATGGGTAGAGGTCCAACGCAGGTCACATGGCAAAAAGAAGATGGCATACAAACCACCACCACGGCCAGATGCCATCATTATAGCTCGGACGGGAGATATGACCTACAGCGATATACTAAGGACCGTAAAAAAGGAAGAGGCGCTGCAGAAACTCGGCGAGAGCGTATCACGCATCAGAAAGACGGTCAAGGGTGAAATACTGCTGCAGCTTAAGGAGACGCAAATGAAGGACACGGGCGAACTCAAGAGCGAAATAGGTAGGCTTCTAGGGGACCAGGCACAGATCAGAGCCCTAACCCACGAGACGATGGTAGAAATCCGTGACCTGGACGAGATTACCACCAAGGAGAATATTGCCGAGGCCATCCGCAACCAGATAGAGGAGCTAAACCACCTTAACGAGAATGCGATAAAAAGCATCAGGGCGGCTTATGCGGGCACACAAACCGCGGTGGTAAATCTCCCAGCGCAGGAGGCAAGATTACTTCTTGACGCGCAGAAAATAAAGATAGGATGGGTTGTGTGCAGAGTAAGGGAGAAACCGAACCCCAAAAAATGCTTCAGGTGCCTGGAATATGGCCATATAGCGAGAGACTGCAAAAACGCGGAAGACAGAAGTCAATGCTGCCTAAAATGTGGAGAAAATGGACACTTTGCGAAAGCCTGCGACAAAAAGCCACACTGCAGAGCATGCAAAAACCAGGGAAGAAAGAACACCGAGCACCAGATAGGTAGTTGGAGGTGTCCGCTATACCAGGAGGCGTGCAAGAAATCAAGAAAATGAGAGTCATGCAGTTGAATCTCAACCACTGCGAAGCAGCGCAAGAGCTGCTCAGGCAAACGGTGTACGAGGAGAAGGTGGACATAGCAATAATCAGCGAGCAGTATAAAAATATAGACAGTGGAGCATGGATATCGGACCTCACAGGCAAAGCTGCAATATGGACATGCGGAGGAAAAGCTTTCCAAGAAAAGCCGCTGCTTGGTAAAAGCTACTACACACGAGCGAAGGTAGACGGTTTTAACTTTTATAGCTGCTACATACCACCAAGTATCCCACAAAATGAATACGAGAACATCCTAGACAGTTTGGTTCAAGAAGTCCGGACCACCACAATGAACGTTATAGCAGGGGACTTCAATGCATGGGCAGTGGAATGGGGTAGCGTCCACACAAACAGGCGGGGAGATGCACTACTAAAGGCGTTTTCGGTACTTGATGCGGTGCTTCTGAATTCGGGGAACAAAAATACCTTTGAGAAGAATGGTCGAGGCTCGGTGATTGACATTACTTTCGCTAGTAGTTCCTTGGTGCGCTCAACGAGCTGGAAGGTGTCGGACCTCTATACGAACAGTGACCATCTGGCAATCATGATGGAGCTAGGGAATTGTGCACAGAGCCGACAAAGGGCGATCACCAGGAAGGTGCAAACGAGGGGCTGGAAGGTAGAGACTCTGGATGAAGAGCTCTTCAGACTCGTGCTGGATGAGGAAATGGCCACTGAGGATAACACTGAGCTCCAGGCTGAAACACTGGTGAGGCACATCAGTAAAGCCTGCGACGGTGCTATGTGCAGGAGAAAACACGGCTCTCTCAGGCAGCCGGCGTACTGGTGGAACGAAAAAATCCAGGCCATAAGGGGTGAGTGTCATAAGGTGAGGCGGTTGTGTCAAAGGAACCGTGGCTCGATGGAACATGCCGTGCTGCGCGAGGCCTTCAAAAAGAAACGAAGTGACCTTAAAAAAGCCATCAAAAGCAGCAAAACCAGCTGCTTTAAGGAGCTCTGCGAAAAGGTGGACGAAAACCCATGGGGTGATGCCTACAAGGTGGTCATGAAGAAAATAAAAGGTGGTAAAGGCCAGGCACCAACCTGTCCCACTCTCCTAAAAGACGTCGTGCAAACTCTCTTCCCTGTGCAAACGCCAGGAGGTCGGCGACCGCAAGCAGAGAAACCGGAGGGAATGGAAGCACCAACGGTTACAGACGAGGAGGTGGTCCAAGCAGCAGAAAGATTTGGTAATGACAAAGCGCCATTCCTAGACGGAATACCAAACAAGGCTCTGAAGGTTGCCATCAAGCACAACACGGGTCCGTTTACCGAACTCTTTACGCGGTGTCTGCGAGAAGGCGTCTTCCCAAAAAATCTGGAAGAAACAGCGGCTGGTCCTACTGCAGAAACCAAACAAGCCGGCAGGAGAACCAAGCGCATACCGACCTCTCTGTATGCTGGATACGCTTGGTAAGATACTGGAGCGATTAATCTGTGTACGGTTGGAGCAGCACCTAGAGGAGGAACTGCCGGGTCTCGCCGATAACCAGTATGGTTTTCGAAGACAGAGGTCAACCATTGATGCAATTAAAAAGCTCACCGATGTCGCAGGCAAGGCAATAGAAGGAACAAGATGGCTATATGGCACGAAGGAATACTGCGCGGCGGTGACATTCGACGTAAAAAATGCCTTCAATTCGGCCTCCTGGCCTCACATACTAAGTGCTCTGGAAAGAAAGAACACGCCGCCCTACTTGCTAAGGATGGTATCCAACTACCTATCTGACAGGCTTCTGCTGTATGATACCGACGAAGGCCCCAGGAAGTACTTGGTGACGGGTGGAGTACCACAGGGCTCCGTACTTGGGCCACTACTTTGGATTGTCCTCTATGATGGAATTCTGGGACTGCCGCTGCCAAGGGAGGTACAAATTATCGGATACGCCGATGATATAGCAATAACAGTAGTGGCCAAAGACCTCTGCCAAGTTGAGAACATCTGCAACAGCACGGCGCAACAAATAAAGAACTGGCTCGCTGCAACGAATCTCCAACTCGCAGGGCAAAAAACCGAAGCGGTGGTGATCACAAGCCGAAAAAAGATGGAGAGCGCTACGCTCAACATCAATGGACATAGCATCAAAACACAGCAGTCGCTGAAATACCTGGGTGTCATGATAGA